CACACAGACACACACACACACACACAGACACACACACACACACACACACACACACACACACACACACACACACACACACACACACACACACACACACACACACACACACACACACACACACACACACACACACACACACACACACACACACACACACACACACACACACACACACACACACACACACTCTCACACACACAGTCACACTTCACACTTCAAAGTGCGGACAGTCTTGTTCCTCCGTGTCTTCTCCGCCCAGAGACAGCGGAGGACAAAGCGCCTCCGCCCGGATCCTCCCTCCTTTCAGCCGGGCTTCATTAGCATCACAGCGGCCTCTTTGATCCGGAGGGCCGTGGGGAAGCTCCACACCCCGTCGGATCTACGCGTTATATTAGCGATTTTAAAAAACACGACGGTCCTAATGGCTTAAAGTCCCAGCTGCATGTTGAGTGAAGGGAGGGGAAGTCCGGGTTTTAAACATGTGTTTTTTTTTGTAATTTTACTTATTGGCTGTTTGTATTTTATTCTGTATTGTTTCATTAATTTTATTATTTTATATGCATTTTTTTCTATAAAACACTAGATAAGAAAAGTGAATATATATATTTTGTATTATAATTATAATATAAATTATAACTATTAATACACCAAAATCATGTATATTATTTATTATTATTTTTATTTTTAACATCATTTTTATTATTAATATTAATGGTATTAAATCATTTCTAACTGATGAGGAAAAAATAAGCAAAAGTATAAATAAAACTATAGTTAGGCCTATAAGATACGATACAATTATATTGGTGATTTAAATGTAAAATGGAGAAAAGCAGGGTTTTTTATAACCTCAAATAGGTTTAAGAATAATCCCTCTGACCCCTCTTTAAATAATGTGTTAAATCGCTCTGTTTGCTTTACAGGAGAAGCGGCACGCTAAAACATGTTTCAAATATCACAGTTTTTACTGAAATTAATCAAAATAAATAACAATTAAAAACTATTTTATAAATCCAAAATATTTACAAAACAATATCAGATATCTCATGTTTGCTGCATTGTGATAGCACTTTGAAGTACACAATCATAAATGTGATAAGATGTCGGAAGAATGTAAAATAAGACGGCGTAAAAAGCTGATGTTTATATTTCTTGTACATAATGTGAAGGTTTTTTTTATTGTTTTATGCACATATTGAACATGTTTTCTCAATTTAAGCCTATTTCAGTAACTATTAAGATATTTAGCATTAAGTGCATGCATTAAATGAAGTCAAACGTGCAATATTTAGCCTACAGTATAAAGCAGCAGGAAAGTCAATTCATTTGAATAAGTATTTCTTTGAGGTTATTTTAGTGGGTTTTTTAACCTGCAGACTTGGTTAATTATAGGGAGTTCATAAGTGCAATATTTACAGTATAAAGTAAGAAACGCTAAAGTAAATACCTGATTCCCACTTTATGAATGATATGGAGTTATGAAGCATTAGGTGCAGTTAACGCATGTTATACTTCACTTCATGCGTTAAATTAAGTATAACATCCTTTTTTTACAGTAAAAAGCACCATAAATACTTAGGCTACGTAAATTCATTTAAATAACTATTTTTTATTAAATGGGTTGAGGTTATTTTAGTGGCTTAGTAGGTTTTTTAAGCTGCATATTTGGTTATTATTGGGAGTTATTTAGAGTATAAAGAAGCAGAAAGTAAATACCTGCATCCTAACTGATGAATTATATGGAGTTATTAAGCATTAAGTGCATGCATTAAAAGCAAGTATAACATGCTATATCTACAGTATAAGATAAACAAATTAATGACGTGAGTTTTAAATAATTCTTACTGGGGTTGGATGTGGGCGCGGAGCTCCGGCGGATCCAGTCGTACGGGTTCCTCCTCTGCGGGGATCCGGGCGACATCTGGCCGACCGAGGCGTTCAGCTGCCCGGGGAAATCCGCCGGGTTGAACCCCAGAGAGGGGCCCACCACCGCGGATCCCCCGGAGGATGAAGGTCCCCCTCCTGCCACCGCCGCCGCGTAGTGAGACGACCATTCATCCCGGGATGGAGGCGGGGGAGGCGGGTAAGAGGAGCTCCATCCCCCGGTGTTTCCCCCGGAGCCCCCGGCCTGCTGATCGGTGGTCAAGCCCGGGTGGTGAGGGTGGTGGTGCGGGTGGTGGTGCGGGTGGTGGTGGTACCCGGGGAAGTCTGAGTACTGCGGCGGGGCGGAGGTGAAGCTCTGCGGACTGAGGCTCAGAGGGTGCCTCGGGCCCGGGTTCTGGTACATGTTGGGGTCCTTGTCCAGCTGCAGGTAACTCACGTACATGTTTCCAGGTGAGGAGGAGGGCTCTGCCTCTGCATGCTGCGGATCCAGACTCTGTCACCTGGCGCTCAGGTAAGATCTCTGCTGTCCACCTGTGAGAGTGTGTGTGAGAGGGTGTGTGTGTGTGTGTGTGTGTGTGTGTGTGTGTGTGTGTGTGTGTGTGTGTGTGTGTGTGTGTGTGTGTGTGTGTGTGTGTGTGTCACGTTAAAGCCTCCCACTGTCACATGGTCACTTTTATTACCCTTATCTCCCTCCCTCTCTTCCTCTTCTTCCTCACCTCACATCCTCCCTAATGCGTTATCATTTAGTTTCAGTCATCTGAAGAAAAACTAGGATTTTATATTTCTTCCACTTTATACTGTAAATAGGCCACCTGCACGTTTTACTTTATTTATTTATGTATACACTTAATGCTTAACAACTCCAGGAATCAATCAGGTTCAGGTTCCTTCAAAGCCACTCAATCAGCTGCATTTTCACCAAATTGATGAACATTTAAAGCATCAATAATTAAGCTGGAAATATACTGTATAGTGTATAATATATAATATAGGTGCAAATACAATATGGAAACCAATAAAAACATTTTCTACAAAAAATAGAGAATAGGAAAGAATATTACATTTAAATATGATACAAATACTTTAATAATAAATACATATAATATGAATAAAAAACTGTAGAAAATATAATATTTATAAAAAGCATAAAACCTCTAATTCACAAAGATGTTGCAAGTATATTTTGAGGATAATACTTTTGCACTTTTACTTGAGAAACATTTTCAATGCAGTACTTTTAACAGAGTATTCCTACACTCTGGTACTTTTTACTCAAGTACA